GTGGCGGGTTCCTCGGGTCATTCGAAGCAACTTTTTCCCTGTCTCTTATACACATCTAGATGTGTATAAGAGACAGGGAAAAAGTTGCTTCGAATGACCCGAGGAACCCGCCACTTTCGGATTGCGAGATATTGTTGGGACACCCTGTATGTACATGTATCTTCCTCGCTTTTGATTACGTTGCACGCCTCGATTAAGAAATTCGTTCGGTTTCCTGTGAAACAGCAATTCGTGCAACATTAAGCGAAATTAGATACGAAGTCGGTTATTTTTGTCGAAACGGTAGGTTCGTTGTTAAGAAAAACGTGTAAGACGAGAACCGAGACGGGAATTGCGATCTCTATGCTAAACGAAAAAATCATATCTGAAAATGCAGCGTTTCGGGTACAACTTTCTTCTTTCTTCCTCGGAAGTGTTGTCTTGTAAATTTATCGATTGGCGAAAGCTTAGCAAATAAGAAATTGACACTGCACCAACCGAGCGGTAAAAACGAGCGACTTTATGTTGCCTCGTAACGACGACAATCCTGAATTTATTTATATCTTTTACACTTTTGATTGCATCGTATGTCGAGATTGAGACATTTATTCGATGAAAGTGTCTGTGTAATTTGAGCGACTTTAAGCGAAATACAATATTATATTACAATACAATGTAATACAATATTATATTACTATTCGATATAATACAGTGTATTATATTAGTATTAATTAATACAATCTTAATTAATACTTAATTGACGCTGAGACTGTGCACAAAAATGGACAATTTGAGAAGAGGAGATATGATTATTCGAACCTTGTGAATTGTTTTTATAGTTACCGATTATCAACAACTATAAAAATATAATAATAATAAAATAAAATAATAAAATAAAATAATAAAACATATAATAATAAAATAATAAAAAATATAATAATAAAATATAATAATAGAATATAATAATAAAATGTAATAATAGAATATAATAATAAAATATAATAATAGAATATAATAATAAAATATAATAATAGAATATAATAAAAAATATCACAATAAAATATAATAAAAAATATCACAATAAAATATAATAATCGTATCTCTTATTCCCAAATTATCAACTTTGTACGCAATCTCAACGTCAATTAGGGAGAATTTACTGTAACATGAAGCCAGTCATCACGATTAAAACAATCAAATTAATGCTAAGAAAAGCCTCAGACGAAACCTAATACAAAAATGCAGCATTTCGTGCGCGACGCCTGATAACCTCGATTTCCACCGAATTCGTGAATTCTCTTTTATCGAACGTCTCGATGGACCAATCGGGAGCGATGCCGCGATACCATCAGGAGCCATCTGCGATCGGAGGAATCTCGGCGGAACAGTGACGGCGCATGAAACCATTCATTTAGCGGGTCCGGTCGCCGACGGAACCGAGAGACGCGGCCAAGTAGAGCAGCTTCCTCGGTCGGCAGACGTGTGTTATTATTCGCATTCCGCGGCGAGCGAATTCGGCGGTCGTGTAGGAAGAGCAGCAGGTGCAGGTTCAGGAATGCGAGCCATCCAACGGGAAGCGCAATGATTTTTTATAGCGTTCCCCCGAAACCGCATTAACGGTTCCCGGCGGGCTCGACGGCGCGGCGACGGCGACGGTGCGGCGCGTTGCGAAATTTCGCGTGCGTTCAGCCTCTCCGATTTTCCCGATATCCTCTGCGGCATACGACAGGCTGTTCGCGGCGAACCGCGCGCTCCGTTACGTAAGTCGGCGGACCCCCCGCTACCCCCTCTCCCCGGATAATTGATTACATCGCGTGTGTAATTCATTCCGGGAACAATGCGTGGGGCATAATTAAGCCATCGGGCCGGTGTTTTCCGTCGCTCGCGGCCGATCCGATCTAGAAATCGCGGGAAAACTGATACATTCCGCGGGACGTAACCGACCGACCATTTGTAAAACCGGCAGCCGGAGGATTTATACCGGCCGGCCGAGATGCAATGCCTCTAATTGCCTTCCAGCCGCGAGCCGCGAGGTGTTCCTCGAACAGGAAACGTCGCAAATCGCCTCGATCGCCGATTCAGGGATCCTAGGATACTCGAACAACACGGTCGATCGATTTAACGATGCTCGAAAATCTGTTCGCGCAAACACTTTCGGCGCAATTCTTTTAACAGATGTATCATAATTGTGTTATTAACAAAATTTGTCCTGTTTATTTTATTAATAAATTATATCACAATATGTTATTATATGATGTAACTATTTGTTATAGCTATTTATTATATAATTACTTATTATATTTGTTATACCTATTTATGCTATTAATAAATTGTATGATAATTGTACTATTAACAGAATTTATCTTATTTATTTTATTAATATATTATATCATAATATGTTATTATGATATAACTATTTATTATAGCTATTTATTATGTGACTACTTATATAAATACTACTATTATATTTATTATACCTATTTATGCTATTAATAAAGTATATCATAATTGTACTATTAAGAAAATTTATCTTATTTATTTTAATAATAAATTATATCATAATATGTTATTATGATATAACTATTTATTATACCAATTTTGTTATTAAGAAAATATATGTATAATAATTATACTATTGACATAATTTATTCTATTTATTTTGTCAATAAAATATATGATAATTATACCGTTAAAGAAGTGTATCATAATCGCTGTTTTAACACTTCGTCAGAATTATATATAAAATTTAATTTCTACAAATTAATTTTTACACTAATCCAT